GGGGAGACATGGGTAAGAGACGGGGGAGACAGGCAAGACCGGGGAGACATGGGTAAGAGACGGGGGAGACAGGCAAGACCGGGGAGACATGGGTAAGAGACGGGGGAGACAGGCAAGACCGGGGAGACATGGGGAAGAGACGGGGGAGACAGGCAAGACCGGGGAGACATGGGTAAGAGACGGGCGAGACAGGCAAGACCGGGGAGACATGGGGAAGAGACGGGGGAGACAGGCAAGGCCGGGGAGACATGGGTAAGAGACGGGGGAGACAGGCAAGACCGGGGAGACATGGGGAAGAGACGGGGGAGACAGGCAAGACCGGGGAGACATGGGTAAGAGACGGGGGAGACAGGCAAGACCGGGGAGACATGGGGAAGAGACGGGGGAGACAGGCAAGGCCGGGGAGACATGGGTAAGAGACGGGGGAGACAGGCAAGACCGGGGAGACATGGGTAAGAGACGGGGGAGACAGGCAAGACCGGGGAGACATGGGGAAGAGACGGGGGAGACAGGCAAGACCGGGGAGACATGGGTAAGAGACGGGGGAGACAGGCAAGACCGGGGAGACATGGGGAAGAGACGGGGGAGACAGGCAAGACCGGGGAGACATGGGGAAGAGACGGGGGAGACAGGCAAGACCGGGGAGACATGGGGAAGAGACGGGGGAGACAGGCAAGACCGGGGAGACATGAGGAAGAGACGGGGGAGACAGGCAAGGCCGGGGAGACATGGGGAAGAGACGGGGGAGACAGGCAAGACCGGGGAGACATGGGGAAGAGACGGGGGAGACAGGCAAGACCGGGGAGACATGAGGAAGAGACGGGGGAGACAGGCAAGACCGGGGAGACATGAGGAAGAGACGGGGGAGTCAGGCAAGACCGGGGAGACATGGGTAAGAGACGGGGGAGACAGGCAAGACCGGGGAGACATGGGGAAGAGACGGGGGAGACAGGCAAGACCGGGGAGACATGAGGAAGAGACGGGGGAGTCAGGCAAGACCGGGGAGACATGGGGAAGAGACGGGGGAGACAGGCAAGACCGGGGAGACATGGGGAAGAGACGGGGGAGACAGGCAAGACCGGGGAGACATGGGGAAGAGACGGGGGAGACAGGCAAGACCGGGGAGACATGGGGAAGAGACGGGGGAGACAGGCAAGACCGGGGAGACATGGGGAAGAGACGGGGGAGACAGGCAAGGCCGGGGAGACATGGGGAAGAGACGGGGGAGACAGGCAAGACCGGGGAGACATGAGGAAGAGACGGAGGAGACAGGCAAGGCCGGGGAGACATGGGGAAGAGGGGGGGGAGACAGGCAAGACCGGGGAGACATGGGGAAGAGACGGGGGAGACAGGCAAGCCGGGAGACATGGGGAAGAGACGGGGGAGACAGGCAAGACCGGGGAGACATGGGAGAGAGGGAGCAGCAAGCGGGGACATGGGAGGGGGGACAGGCAAGACCGGGGAGACATGGGAAAGAGACGGGGGAGTCAGGCAAGACCGGGGAGACATGGGTAAGAGACGGGGGAGACAGGCAAGACCGGGGAGACATGGGGAAGAGACGGGGGAGACAGGCAAGACCGGGGAGACATGGGAAGAGACGGGGGAGACAGGCAAGACCGGGAGACATGGGGAAGAGACGGGGGAGACATGGGAAGAGACGGGGGAGACAGGCAAGACCGGGGAGACATGGGGAAGAGACGGGGGAGACAGGCAAGACCGGGGAGACATGGGGAAGGACGGGGGAGACAGGCAAGACCGGGGAGACATGGGTAAGAGACGGGGGAGACAGGCAAGGCCGGGGAGACATGGGGAAGAGACGGAGGAGACAGGCAAGACCGGGGAGACATGGGGAAGAGACGGGGGAGACATGGGGAAGAGACGGGGGAGACAGGCAAGACCGGGGAGACATGGGTAAGAGACGGGGGAGACAGGCAAGACCGGGGAGACATGGGGAAGGGACGGGGGAGACAGGCAAGACCGGGGAGACATGGGGAAGAGACGGGGGAGACAGGCAAGGCCAGGGAGACATGAGGAAGAGACGGGGGAGACAGGCAAGGCCAGGGAGACATGAGGAAGAGACGGGGGAGACAGGCAAGGCCGGGGAGACATGGGGAAGAGACGGGGGAGACAGGCAAGGCCGGGGAGACATGAGGAAGAGACGGAGGAGACAGGCAAGGCCGGGGAGACATGAGGAAGAGACGGGGGAGACAGGCAAGGCCGGGGAGACATGGGGAAGAGACGGGGGAGACAGGCAAGGCCGGGGAGACATGGGGAAGAGACGGGGGAGACAGGCAAGGCCGGGGAGACATGGGGAAGAGACGGGGGAGTCAGGCAAGGCCGGGGAGACATGGGGAAGAGACGGGGGAGACAGGCAAGACCGGGGAGACATGGGGAAGAGACGGGGGAGACAGGCAAGGCCGGGGAGACATGGGGAAGAGACGGGGGAGACAGGCAAGGCCGGGGAGACATGGGGAAGAGACGGGGGAGTCAGGCAAGACCGGGGAGACATGGGGAAGAGACGGGGGAGACAGGCAAGGCCGGGGAGACAGGCAAGGCCGGGGAGACAGGCAAGGCCGGGGAGACATGGGGAAGAGATGGGGGAGACAGGCAAGACCGGGGAGACATGGGGAAGAGACGGGGGAGACAGGCAAGACCGGGGAGACATGGGGAAGAGACGGGGGAGACAGGCAAGACCGGGGAGACATGGGGAAGAGACGGGGGAGACAGGCAAGGCCGGGGAGACAGGCAAGGCCGGGGAGACATGGGGAAGAGACGGGGGAGACAGGCAAGACCGGGGAGACATGGGTAAGAGACGGGGGAGACAGGCAAGACCGTGGAGACGGGGAAGAGACGGGGGAGACAGGCAAGACCGGGGAGACATGGGTAAGAGACGGGGGAGACAGGCAAGACCGGGGAGACATGGGGAAGAGACGGGGGAGACAGGCAAGGCCGGGGAGACATGGGTAAGAGACGGGGGAGACAGGCAAGACCGGGGAGACATGGGTAAGAGACGGGGGAGACAGGCAAGACCGGGGAGACATGGGGAAGAGACGGGGGAGACAGGCAAGACCGGGGAGACATGGGTAAGAGACGGGGGAGACAGGCAAGACCGGGGAGACATGGGGAAGAGACGGGGGAGACAGGCAAGACCGGGGAGACATGGGGAAGAGACGGGGGAGACAGGCAAGACCGGGGAGACATGGGGAAGAGACGGGGGAGACAGGCAAGACCGGGGAGACATGAGGAAGAGACGGGGGAGACAGGCAAGGCCGGGGAGACATGGGGAAGAGACGGGGGAGACAGGCAAGACCGGGGAGACATGGGGAAGAGACGGGGGAGACAGGCAAGACCGGGGAGACATGAGGAAGAGACGGGGGAGACAGGCAAGACCGGGGAGACATGAGGAAGAGACGGGGGAGTCAGGCAAGACCGGGGAGACATGGGTAAGAGACGGGGGAGACAGGCAAGACCGGGGAGACATGGGGAAGAGACGGGGGAGACAGGCAAGACCGGGGAGACATGAGGAAGAGACGGGGGAGTCAGGCAAGACCGGGGAGACATGGGTAAGAGACGGGGGAGACAGGCAAGACCGGGGAGACATGGGGAAGAGACGGGGGAGACAGGCAAGACCGGGGAGACATGGGGAAGAGACGGGGGAGACAGGCAAGACCGGGGAGACATGGGGAAGAGACGGGGGAGACAGGCAAGACCGGGGAGACATGGGGAAGAGACGGGGGAGACAGGCAAGACCGGGGAGACATGAGGAAGAGACGGAGGAGACAGGCAAGACCGGGGAGACATGGGGAAGAGACGGGGGAGTCAGGCAAGGCCGGGGAGACATGAGGAAGAGACGGAGGAGACAGGCAAGACCGGGGAGACATGGGGAAGAGACGGGGGAGTCAGGCAAGGCCGGGTAGACATGGGGAAGAGACGGGGGAGTCAGGCAAGGCCGGGTAGACATGGGGAAGAGACGGGGGAGACAGGCAAGACCGGGGAGACATGGGGAAGAGACGGGGGAGACAGGCAAGGCCGGGGAGACATGGGGAAGAGACGGAGGAGACAGGCAAGACCGGGGAGACATGGGGAAGAGACGGGGGAGACAGGCAAGACCGGGGAGACATGGGGAAGAGACGGGGGAGACATGGGGAAGAGACGGGGGAGACAGGCAAGACCGGGGAGACATGAGTAAGAGACGGGGGGAGACAGGCAAGACCGGGGAGACATGGGGAAGGGACGGGGGAGACAGGCAAGACCGGGGAGACATGGGGAAGAGACGGGGGAGACAGGCAAGGCCGGGGAGACAGGGGAGAGACGGGGGAGACAGGCAAGACCGGGGAGACATGGGGAAGAGACGGGGGAGACAGGCAAGGCCAGGGAGACATGAGGAAGAGACGGGGGAGACAGGCAAGGCCGGGGAGACATGGGGAAGAGACGGGGGAGACAGGCAAGGCCAGGGAGACATGAGGAAGAGACGGGGGAGACAGGCAAGGCCAGGGAGACATGAGGAAGAGACGGGGGAGACAGGCAAGGCCAGGGAGACATGAGGAAGAGACGGGGGAGACAGGCAAGGCTGGGGAGACATGGGGAAGAGACGGGGGAGACAGGCAAGGCCAGGGAGACATGAGGAAGAGACGGGGGAGACAGGCAAGGCCAGGGAGACATGAGGAAGAGACGGGGGAGACAGGCAAGGCCAGGGAGACATGAGGAAGAGACGGGGGAGACAGGCAAGGCCGGGGAGACATGAGGAAGAGACGGAGGAGACAGGCAAGGCCGGGGAGACATGAGGAAGAGACGGGGGAGACAGGCAAGGCCGGGGAGACATGGGGAAGAGACGGGGGAGACAGGCAAGGCCGGGGAGACATGGGGAAGAGACGGGGGAGACAGGCAAGACCGGGGTGACATGGGGAAGAGACGGGGGAGACAGGCAAGGCCGGGGAGACATGGGGAAGAGACGGGGGAGACAGGCAAGGCCGGGGAGACATGGGGAAGAGACGGGGGAGTCAGGCAAGACCGGGGAGACATGGGGAAGAGACGGGGGAGACAGGCAAGGCCGGGGAGACATGGGGAAGAGACGGGGGAGACAGGCAAGACCGGGGAGACATGGGGAAGAGACGGGGGAGACAGGCAAGACCGGGGAGACATGGGGAAGAGACGGGGGAGACAGGCAAGACCGGGGAGACATGGGGAAGAGACGGGGGAGACAGGCAAGGCCGGGGAGACAGGCAAGGCCGGGGAGACATGGGGAAGAGACGGGGGAGACAGGCAAGACCGGGGAGACATGGGGAAGAGACGGGGGAGACAGGCAAGACCGGGGAGACATGGGGAAGAGACGGGGGAGACAGGCAAGACCGGGTAGACATGGGGAAGAGACGGGGGAGACATGGGGAAGAGACGGGGGAGACAGGCAAGACCGGGGAGACATGGGTAAGAGACGGGGGAGACAGGCAAGACCGGGGAGACATGGGGAAGAGACGGGGGAGACAGGCAAGACCGGGGAGACATGGGGAAGAGACGGGGGAGTCAGGCAAGACCGGGGAGACATGGGGAAGAGACGGGGGAGACAGGCAAGGCCGGGGAGACATGAGGAAGAGACGGAGGAGACAGGCAAGGCCGGGGAGACATGAGGAAGAGACGGGGGAGACAGGCAAGACCGGGGAGACATGGGTAAGAGACCGGAGAGACATGGGGAAGAGACGGGGGAGACAGGCAAGGCCGGGGAGACATGGGGAAGAGACGGGGGAGACAGGCAAGACCGGGGAGACATGGGGAAGAGACGGGGGAGACAGGCAAGGCCGGGGAGACATGGGGAAGAGACGGGGGAGACAGGCAAGACCGGGGAGACATGGGGAAGAGACGGGGGAGACAGGCAAGACCGGGGAGACATGGGGAAGAGACGGGGGAGACATGGGGAAGAGACGGGGGAGACAGGCAAGACCGGGGAGACATGGGGAAGAGACGGGGGAGACAGGCAAGGCCGGGGAGACATGGGGAAGAGACGGGGGAGACAGGCAAGGCCGGGGAGACATGGGGAAGAGACGGGGGAGACAGGCAAGGCCGGGGAGACATGGGGAAGAGACGGGGGAGACAGGCAAGACCGGGGAGACATGGGGAAGAGACGGGGGAGACAGGCAAGGCCGGGGAGACAGGCAAGGCCGGGGAGACATGGGGAAGAGACGGGGGAGACAGGCAAGACCGGGGAGACATGGGGAAGAGACGGGGGAGACAGGCAAGACCGGGGAGACATGGGGAAGAGACGGGGGAGACAGGCAAGACCGGGGAGACATGGGGAAGAGACGGGGGAGACAGGCAAGGCCGGGGAGACATGGGGAAGAGACGGGGGAGTCAGGCAAGACCGGGGAGACATGGGGAAGAGACGGGGGAGACAGGCAAGGCCGGGGAGACAGGCAAGGCCGGGGAGACATGGGGAAGAGACGGGGGAGACAGGCAAGACCGGGGAGACATGGGGAAGAGACGGGGGAGACAGGCAAGACCGGGGAGACATGGGGAAGAGACGGGGGAGACAGGCAAGACCGGGGAGACATGGGGAAGAGACGGGGGAGACAGGCAAGGCCAGGGAGACATGAGGAAGAGAGAGAGGGGGAGACAGGCAAGGCCAGGGAGACATGAGGAAGAGACGGGGGAGACAGGCAAGGCCGGGGAGACATGAGGAAGAGACGGAGGAGACAGGCAAGGCCGGGGAGACATGAGGAAGAGACGGGGGAGACAGGCAAGACCGGGGAGACATGGGGAAGAGACGGGGGAGACAGGCAAGGCCGGGGAGACATGGGGAAGAGACGGGGGAGACAGGCAAGGCCGGGGAGACATGGGGAAGAGACGGGGGAGTCAGGCAAGGCCGGGGAGACATGGGGAAGAGACGGGGGAGACAGGCAAGGCCGGGGAGACATGGGGAAGAGACGGGGGAGTCAGGCAAGGCCGGGGAGACATGGGGAAGAGACGGGGGAGACAGGCAAGACCGGGGAGACATGGGTAAGAGACGGGGGAGACAGGCAAGACCGGGGAGACATGGGGAAGAGACGGGGGAGACAGGCAAGACCGGGGAGACATGGGGAAGAGACGGGGGAGTCAGGCAAGACCGGGGAGACATGGGGAAGAGACGGGGGAGACAGGCAAGGCCAGGGAGACATGAGGAAGAGACGGGGGAGACAGGCAAGGCCGGGGAGACATGGGGAAGAGACGGGGGAGTCAGGCAAGGCCGGGGAGACATGAGGAAGAGACGGAGGAGACAGGCAAGGCCGGGGAGACATGAGGAAGAGACGGGGGAGACAGGCAAGGCCGGGGAGACATGGGGAAGAGACGGGGGAGACAGGCAAGGCCGGGGAGACATGGGGAAGAGACGGGGGAGACAGGCAAGGCCGGGGAGACATGGGGAAGAGACGGGGGAGTCAGGCAAGACCGGGGAGACATGGGGAAGAGACGGGGGAGACAGGCAAGGCCGGGGAGACATGGGGAAGAGACGGGGGAGTCAGGCAAGGCCGGGGAGACATGGGGAAGAGACGGGGGAGACAGGCAAGGCCGGGGAGACATGGGGAAGAGACGGGGGAGACAGGCAAGGCCGGGGAGACATGGGGAAGAGACGGGGGAGACAGGCAAGGCCGGGGAGACATGGGGAAGAGACGGGGGAGTCAGGCAAGGGGAGAATGGGAAGAGACGGGGAGACAGGCAAGACCGGGGAGACATGGGGAAGAGACGGGGAGACAGGCAAGGCCGGGAGACAGGGGCGGGAGACATGGGGAAGAGACGGGGAGACAGGCAAGACCGGGGAGACATGGGGAAGAGACGGGGGAGACAGGCAAGACCGGGGAGACATGGGGAAGAGACGGGGAGACAGGCAAGGGGAGACAGGGGACGGGGAGACATGGGGAAGAGACGGGGGAGACAGGCAAGACGGGGGAGACATGGGGAAGAGACGGGGGAGACAGGCAAGACCGGGGAGACATGGGGAAGAGACGGGGGAGACAGGCAAGACCGGGTAGACATGGGGAAGAGACGGGGGAGACATGGGGAAGAGACGGGGGAGACAGGCAAGACCGGGGAGACATGGGTAAGAGACGGGGGAGACAGGCAAGACCGGGGAGACATGGGGAAGAGACGGGGGAGACAGGCAAGACCGGGGAGACATGGGGAAGAGACGGGGGAGTCAGGCAAGACCGGGGAGACATGGGGAAGAGACGGGGGAGACAGGCAAGGCCAGGGAGACATGAGGAAGAGACGGAGGAGACAGGCAAGGCCGGGGAGACATGAGGAAGAGACGGGGGAGACAGGCAAGACCGGGGAGACATGGGTAAGAGACCGGGGAGACATGGGGAAGAGACGGGGGAGACAGGCAAGGCCGGGGAGACAGGCAAGGCCGGGGAGACATAGGGAAGAGACGGGGGAGACAGGCAAGACCGGGGAGACATGGGGAAGAGACGGGGGAGACAGGCAAGACCGGGGAGACATGGGGAAGAGACGGGGGAGACATGGGGAAGAGACGGGGGAGACAGGCAAGACCGGGGAGACATGGGTAAGAGACGGGGGAGACAGGCAAGACCGGGGAGACATGGGGAAGAGACGGGGGAGACAGGCAAGACCGGGGAGACATGGGGAAGAGACGGGGGAGTCAGGCAAGACCGGGGAGACATGGGGAAGAGACGGGGGAGTCAGGCAAGACCGGGGAGACATGGGGAAGAGACGGGGGAGACAGGCAAGGCCGGGGAGACATGGGGAAGAGACGGGGGAGACAGGCAAGACCGGGGAGACATGGGGAAGAGACGGGGGAGACAGGCAAGACCGGGGAGACATGGGGAAGAGACGGGGGAGACAGGCAAGACCGGGGAGACATGGGGAAGAGACGGGGGAGACAGGCAAGGCCGGGGAGACAGGCAAGGCCGGGGAGACATGGGGAAGAGACGGGGGAGACAGGCAAGACCGGGGAGACATGGGGAAGAGACGGGGGAGACAGGCAAGACCGGGGAGACATGGGGAAGAGACGGGGGAGACAGGCAAGACCGGGGAGACATGGGGAAGAGACGGGGGAGACAGGCAAGACCGGGGAGACATGGGGAAGAGACGGGGGAGACATGGGGAAGAGACGGGGGAGACAGGCAAGACCGGGGAGACATGGGTAAGAGACGGGGGAGACAGGCAAGACCGGGGAGACATGGGGAAGAGACGGGGGAGACAGGCAAGACCGGGGAGACATGGGGAAGAGACGGGGGAGTCAGGCAAGACCGGGGAGACATGGGGAAGAGACGGGGGAGTCAGGCAAGACCGGGGAGACATGGGGAAGAGACGGGGGAGACAGGCAAGACCGGGGAGACATGAGGAAGAGACGGAGGAGACAGGCAAGGCCGGGGAGACATGAGGAAGAGACGGGGGAGACAGGCAAGGCCGGGGAGACATGAGGAAGAGACGGGGGAGACAGGCAAGGCCGGGGAGACATGGGGAAGAGACGGGGGAGACAGGCAAGGCCGGGGAGACATGGGGAAGAGACGGGGGAGACAGGCAAGGCCGGGGAGACATGGGGAAGAGACGGGGGAGTCAGGCAAGGCCGGGGAGACATGGGGAAGAGACGGGCGAGACAGGCAAGGCCGGGGAGACATGGGGAAGAGACGGGGGAGACAGTCAAGGCCGGGGAGACATGGGGAAGAGACGGGGGAGACAGGCAAGGCCGGGGAGACATGGGGAAGAGACGGGGGAGACAGGCAAGACCGGGGAGACATGGGGAAGAGACGGGGGAGACAGGCAAGGCCGGGGAGACATGGGGAAGAGACGGGGGAGACAGGCAAGGCCGGGGAGACATGGGGAAGAGACGGGGGAGTCAGGCAAGGCCGGGGAGACATGGGGAAGAGACGGGGGAGACAGGCAAGGCCGGGGAGACATGGGGAAGAGACGGGGGAGACAGGCAAGACCGGGGAGACATGGGGAAGAGACGGGGGAGACAGGCAAGGCCGGGGAGACATGGGGAAGAGACGGGGGAGACAGGCAAGACCGGGGAGACATGAGGAAGAGACGGGGGAGACAGGCAAGGCCGGGGAGACATGGGGAAGAGACGGGGGAGTCAGGCAAGGCCGGGGAGACATGAGGAAGAGACGGGGGAGACAGGCAAGACCGGGGAGACATGGGGAAGAGACGGGGGAGACAGGCAAGGCCGGGGAGACATGAGGAAGAGACGGGGGAGACAGGCAAGACCGGGGAGACATGGGGAAGAGACGGGGGAGACAGGCAAGGCCGGGGAGACATGGGGAAGAGACGGGGGAGACAGGCAAGGCCGGGGAGACATGGGGAAGAGACGGAGGAGACAGGCAAGGCCGGGGAGACATGGGGAAGAGACGGGGGAGACAGGCAAGACCGGGGAGACATGGGGAAGAGACGGGGGAGTCAGGCAAGACCGGGGAGACATGGGGAAGAGACGGGGGAGTCAGGCAAGACCGGGGAGACATGGGGAAGAGACGGGGGAGACAGGCAAGGCCGGGGAGACATGAGGAAGAGACGGGGGAGACAGGCAAGGCCGGGGAGACATGGGGAAGAGACGGGGGAGTCAGGCAAGACCGGGGAGACATGGGGAAGAGACGGGGGAGTCAGGCAAGGCCGGGGAGACATGAGGAAGAGACGGAGGAGACAGGCAAGGCCGGGGAGACATGGGGAAGAGACGGGGGAGACAGGCAAGGCCGGGGAGACATGAGGAAGAGACGGGGGAGACAGGCAAGACCGGGGAGACATGAGGAACAGACGGGGGAGACAGGCAAGACCGGGGAGACATGGGGAAGAGACGGGGGAGACAGGCAAGGCCGGGGAGACATGGGGAAGAGATGGGGGAGACAGGCAAGACCGGGGAGACATGGGGAAGAGACGGGGGAGACAGGCAAGGCCGGGGAGACATGGGGAAGAGACGGGGGAGACAGGCAAGGCCGGGGAGACATGGGGAACAGACGGGGGAGACAGACATGGCCGGGGAGACATGGGGAAGAGACGGAGGAGACAGGCAAGGCCGGGGAGACATGGGGAACAGACGGGGGAGACAGGGAAGGCCGGGGAGACATGGGGAAGAGACGGAGGAGACAGGCAAGACCGGGGAGACATGGGGAAGAGACGGGGGAGACAGACATGGCCGGGGAGACATGGGGAACAGACGGGGGAGACAGGCAAGGCCGGGGAGACATGGGGAAGAGACGGAGGAGACAGACATGGCCGGGGAGACATGGGGAACAGACGGGGGAGACAGGCAAGGCCGGGGAGACATGGGGAACAGACGGGGGAGTCAGGCAAGGCCGGGGAGACATGGGGAAGAGACGGGGGAGTCAGGCAAGACCGGGGAGACATGGGTAAGAGACGGGGGAGACAGGCAAGGCCGGGGAGACATGGGGAAGAGACGGGGGAGACAGGCAAGACCGGGGAGACACGGGGAAGAGACGGAGGAGACAGGCAAGGCCGGGGAGACATGGGGAAGAGACGGGGGAGACAGGCAAGGCCGGGGAGACATGGGGAACAGACGGGGGAGACAGGCAAGGCCGGGGAGACATGGGGAAGAGACGGAGGAGACAGGCAAGGCCGGGGAGACATGGGGAAGAGACGGGGGAGACAGGCAAGGCCGGGGAGACATGGGGAAGAGACGGGGGAGTCAGGCAAGGCCGGGGAGACATGGGGAAGAGACGGAGGAGACAGGCAAGGCCGGGGAGACATGGGGAAGAGACGGGGGAGACAGGCAAGGCCGGGGAGACATGGGGAAGAGACGGGGGAGTCAGGCAAGACCGGGGAGACATGGGGAAGAGACGGGGGAGACAGGCAAGACCGGGGAGACATGGGGAAGAGACGGGGGAGTCAGGCAAGACCGGGGAGACATGGGGAAGAGACGGGGGAGTCAGGCAAGACCGGGGAGACATGGGGAAGAGACGGGGGAGACAGGCAAGGCCGGGGAGACAGGCAAGGCCGGGGAGACATGGGGAACAGACGGGGGAGTCAGGCAAGGCCGGGGAGACATGGGGAAGAGACGGGGGAGTCAGGCAAGGCCGGGGAGACATGGGGAAGAGACGGGGGAGACAGGCAAGACCGGGGAGACATGGGGAACAGACGGGGGAGACAGGCAAGGCCGGGGAGACATGGGGAACAGACGGGGGAGTCAGGCAAGGCCGGGGAGACATGGGGAAGAGACGGAGGAGACAGGCAAGGCCGGGGAGACATGGGGAACAGACGGGGGAGACAGGCAAGACCGGGGAGACATGGGTAAGAGACGGGGGAGACAGGCAAGGCCGGGGAGACATGGGGAAGAGACGGGGGAGACAGGCAAGGCCGGGGAGACATGGGGAAGAGACGGGGGAGACAGGCAAGACCGGGGAGACATGGGGAAGAGACGGGGGAGACAGGCAAGGCCGGGGAGACATGGGGAACAGACGGGGGAGTCAGGCAAGGCCGGGGAGACATGGGGAAGAGACGGGGGAGTCAGGCAAGGCCGGGGAGACATGGGGAAGAGACGGGGGAGACAGGCAAGGCCGGGGAGACATGGGGAAGAGACGGGGGAGCAGGCAAGCCGGGGAGACATGGGGAAGAGACGGGGGAGACAGGCAAGACCGGGGAGACATGGGGAAGAGACGGGGGAGACAGGCAAGGCCGGGAGACAGGGGGCGGGAGACATGGGGAAGAGACGGGGGAGACAGGCAAGGCCGGGGAGACATGGGGAACAGACGGGGGAGTCAGGCAAGGCCGGGGAGACATGGGGAAGAGACGGGGGAGACAGGCAAGACCGGGGAGACATGGGGAAGAGACGGGGGAGACAGGCAAGGCCGGGGAGACATGGGGAAGAGACGGGGGAGACAGGCAAGGCCGGGGAGACATGGGGAACAGACGGGGGAGTCAGGCAAGGCCGGGGAGACATGGGGAAGAGACGGGGGAGTCAGCAGGCAGTAGGCCGGGGAGACATGGGGAACAGACGGGGGAGACAGGCAAGACCGGGGAGACATGGGGAAGAGACGGGGGAGTCAGGCAAGGCCGGGGAGACATGGGGAAGAGACGGGGGAGACAGGCAAGACCGGGGAGACATGGGGAAGAGACGGGGGAGACAGGCAAGGCCGGGGAGACATGGGGAAGAGACGGGGGAGACAGGCAAGACCGGGGAGACATGGGGAAGAGACGGGGGAGACAGGCAAGGCCGGGGAGACATGGGGAAGAGACGGGGGAGACAGGCAAGGCCGGGGAGACATGGGGAAGAGACGGGGGAGTCAGGCAAGACCGGGGAGACATGGGGAAGAGACGGGGGAGACAGGCAAGGCCGGGGAGACATGGGGAAGAGACGGGGGAGACAGGCAAGACCGGGGAGACATGGGGAAGAGACGCGGGGGAGACAGGCAAGGCCGGGGAGACATGGGGAAGAGACGGGGGAGTCAGGCAAGACCGGGGAGACATGGGGAAGAGACGGGGGAGACAGGCAAGACCGGGGAGACATGGGGAAGAGACGGGGGAGACAGGCAAGACCCACACCTGCAACAAGTGGGATGGTCCTGATTGCGTGTGTATGATTCTGGCCGCTCGTCCATGGTCCGCAGCACATGACCACGTTACGGCTGCGCGTTCACAGAGCTCTCTCAAATGTCAATGTCAAAGTCAATGTCAACTTTATTTGTATAGCACATATACAACAACACCAGCTGCTCAAAGTGCTTCACAGGCATGAAAGATAAAAAAAAAGAAAAGAAAAAAGCATGAAATACATACATACGTAAAAGTAAAATGGTAAAACTCAGTTGGTGTTAAAAGCCAAGGTGTAAAAATGTGTCTTTAAACTAGCCTTAAAAACGTCCAATGAAGGAGCTGCAAAGCGGCCACAGTTGCTCCAAGGGTAAAAAACGGAGGATGTTAATCCTGTTCTAGTGCGTAACGCAAATAGCCCGCGGTCACACATTTCACAGAAATAATATTTTCAGTGGGAAAAAGTCGGAATTCGCGGATCCACAGATAATTCTCATCACAGGTATATCTTGATGCATATCATTGGTCAAGAGAATGGATCACTGAAGAGAATAGGTCAAAAAAAGAAAAAAAGACGTGTCCGCTTTCCCGGCTTCAAAGGTAGAAGTGCGTAACAGCGCTCCCGGCTTGAAAGGTAGAAGTGCGTAACAGCGCTCCCGGCCTTAAAGGTAGAAGTGCGTAACAGCGCTCCCGGCCTTAAAGGTAGAAGTGCGTAACAGCGCTCCCGGCTTGAAAGGTAGAAGTGCGTAACAGCGCTCCCGGCTTGAAAGGTAGAAGTGCGTAACAGCGCTCCCGGCCTTAAAGGTAGAAGTGCGTAACAGCGCTCCCGGCCTTAAAGGTAGAAGTGCGTAACAGCGCTCCCGGCCTTAAAGGTAGAAGTGCGTAACAGCGCTCCCGGCCTTAAAGGTAGAAGTGCGTAACAGCGCTCCCGGCCTTAAAGGTAGAAGTGTGTAACAGCGCTCCCGGCCTCAAAGGTAGAAGTGCGTAACAGCGCTCCCGGCCTTAAAGGTAGAAGTGCGTAACAGCGCTCCCGGCTTGAAAGGTAGAAGTGCGTAACAGCGCTCCCGGCTTGAGAGGTAGAAGTGCGTAACAGCGCTCCCGGCTTGAAAGGTAGAAGTGCGTAACAGCGCTCCCGGCCTTAAAGGTAGAAGTGCGTAACAGCGCTCCCGGCCTTAAAGGTAGAAGTGCGTAACAGCGCTCCCGGCCTTAAAGGTAGAAGTGCGTAACAGCGCTCCCGGCTTGAAAGGTAGAAGTGCGTAACAGCGCTCCCGGCTCAAAGGTAGAAGTGCGTAACAGCGCTCCCGGCTGAAAGGTAGAAGTGCGTAACAGCGCTCCCGGCTTCAAAGGTAGAAGTGCGTAACAGCGCTCCCGGCTTGAAAGGTAGAAGTGCGTAACAGCGCTCCGCTAAGTAGAAGTGCGTAACAGCGCTCCCGGCTTAAAGGTAGAAGTGCGTAACAGCGCTCCCGGCTTCTAAAGGTAGAAGTGCGTAACAGCGCTCCCGGCCTTCAAAGGTAGAAGTGCGTAACAGCGCTCCCGGCCTCAAAGGTAGAAGTGCGTAACAGCGCTCCCGGCCTTAAAGGTAGAAGTGCGTAACAGCGCTCCCGGCTTGAAAGGTAGAAGTGCGTAACAGCGCTCCCGGCCTTAAAGGTAGAAGTGCGTAACAGCGCTCCCGGCCTTAAAGGTAGAAGTGCGTAACAGCGCTCCCCGGCTTGAAAGGTAGAAGTGCGTAACAGCGCTCCCGGCTTGAAAGGTAGAAGTGCGTAACAGCGCTCCCGGCCTTAAAGGTAGAAGTGCGTAACAGCGCTCCCGGCCTTAAAGGTAGAAGTGCGTAACAGCGCTCCCGGCCTTAAAGGTAGAAGTGCGTAACAGCGCTCCCGGCCTTAAAGGTAGAAGTGCGTAACAGCGCTCCCGGCTTGAAAGGTAGAAGTGCGTAACAGCGCTCCCGGCCTTAAAGGTAGAAGTGCGTAACAGCGCTCCCGGCCTTAAAGGTAGAAGTGCGTAACAGCGCTCCCGGCTTGAAAGGTAGAAGTGCGTAACAGCGCTCCCGGCTTGAAAGGTAGAAGTGCGTAACAGCGCTCCCGGCTTGAAAGGTAGAAGTGCGTAACAGCGCTCGGCTTAAAGGTAGAAGTGCGTAACAGCGCTCCCGGCTTGAAAGGTAGAAGTGCGTAACAGCGCTCCCGGCCTTAAAGGTAGAAGTGCGTAACAGCGCTCCCGGCCTTAAAGGTAGAAGTGCGTAACAGCGCTCCCGGCCTTAAAGGTAGAAGTGCGTAACAGCGCTCCCGGCTTGAAAGGTAGAAGTGCGTAACAGCGCTCCCGGCCTTAAAGGTAGAAGTGCGTAACAGCGCTCCCGGCTTGAAAGGTAGAAGTGCGTAACAGCGCTCCCGGCTTGAAAGGTAGAAGTGCGTAACAGCGCTCCCGGCTTGAAAGGTAGAAGTGCGTAACAGCGCTCCCGGCCTTAAAGGTAAGAAGTGCGTAACAGCGCTCCCGGCCTTAAAGGTAGAAGTGCGTAACAGCGCTCCCGGCCTTAAAGGTAGAAGTGCGTAACAGCGCTCCCGGCTTGAAAGGTAGAAGTGCGTAACAGCGCTCCCGGCCTCAAAGGTAGAAGTGCGTAACAGCGCTCCCGGCTTGAAAGGTAGAAGTGCGTAACAGCGCTCCCGGCTTCAAAGGTAGAAGTGCGTAACAGCGCTCCCGGCTTGAAAGGTAGAAGTGCGTAACAGCGCTCCCGGCCTTAAAGGTAGAAGTGCGTAACAGCGCTCCCGGCCTCAAAGGTAGAAGTGCGTAACAGCGCTCCCGGCTTGAAAGGTAGAAGTGCGTAACAGCGCTCCCGGCTTCAAAGGTAGAAGTGCGTAACAGCGCTCCCGGCCTCAAAGGTAGAAGTGCGTAAAAGCGCTCCCGGCCTTAAAGGTAGAAGTGCGTAACAGCGCTCCCGGCTTGAAAGGTAGAAGTGCGTAACAGCGCTCCCGGCTTGAAAGGTAGAAGTGCGTAACAGCGCTCCCGGCCTTAAAGGTAGAAGTGCGTAACAGCGCTCCCGGCCTTAAAGGTAGAAGTGCGTAACAGCGCTCCCGGCTTGAAAGGTAGAAGTGCGTAACAGCGCTCCCGGCTTGAAAGGTAGAAGTGCGTAACAGCGCTCCCGGCCTTAAAGGTAGAAGTGCGTAACAGCGCTCCCGGCCTTAAAGGTAGAAGTGCGTAACAGCGCTCCCGGCCTTAAAGGTAGAAGTGCGTAACAGCGCTCCCGGCCTTAGAGGTAGAAGTGCGTAACAGCGCTCCCGCTTGAAAGGTAGAAGTGCGTAACAGCGCTCCCGGCCTTAAAGGTAGAAGTGCGTAACAGCGCTCCCGGCCTCAAAGGTAGAAGTGCGTAACAGCGCTCCCGGCCTCAAAGGTAGAAGTGCGTAACAGCGCTCCCGGCCTTAGAGGTAGAAGTGCGTAACAGCGCTCCCGGCCTTAAAGGTAGAAGTGCGTAACAGCGCTCCCGGCCTTAGAGGTAGAAGTGCGTAACAGCGCTCCCGGCCTTAAAGGTAGAAGTGCGTAACAGCGCTCCCGGCTTGAAAGGTAGAAACGAGGGAATGCGTTCCCGGCCTCAATGGGTTAAGGGTGTGAGTGCACTCGTCGTTGCTCCCAAAGTATTAGGACACCCTACAACTCCCGCAGGCAAGCGCAAATATTAGGGCAAGGGCACAAATGAAGGGCTAGGGTGAGAATTGGGACAGGGCTTAGTGTCACTCCTGTATTCGTCCCGGAAACTGGATTCGTCCGGAAGTTCAGTTTGATCCAATTAGCATACGCAGCAGTAGATTCACAAAAGTCACGGAATCTGGACGAAAGCGGAAGTAAATATAACAAACTACCTGTTCATGCCTAAACTTAACCAGACATTCCCATAAAATAACCCCGGCTCAGCCTTAACCCTAAACTTAACCATCTTACTCAGACGCCTAAACTTAACCAGTCACCACTTAAGGACTTATTACACTTTTTGACATGCGCAAACTGAACTTCCGGACGAATCCGTTTTCCGGGACGAATACGGGAGTGACACTTATGTCTCTCTTATGGCCTGAGAAGGCCGGATGAAGTGAGTGTGGATATTGGGCCCAAAAAATTCTGGGCCCAACTTGATCTAGTCTTAAACAAATCTAAAAATAAATTAACTGAACATGTAGAAGTAAACAATGAAAATATATCAGATCCAATCAAAATATCTCAAGCGTTTAATGAACATTTCTCTTCCATAAACAAAATAATCCCTAACAACTCTGTGTCTGGTGATTACCAAAATACATCTCGAGCTGGTCCTTCTTTCTCGTTTTCAAAAATATCTCCACTTACTGTTTATACTTGTTTAAATGAATTAAAACCAAACTGCGGAGCTGGTCCAGACAATCTTGAAGTGAAGTTTCTGAAAATGCTGACAATACTTTGTCCCTTTGTTTCCTTTATCCGACCTCTTTAAAGTAACGCTAAATGAATTACAAATTTTAGGAAATGTGTTAAATTTCTTGGCCTTAAATGTTGATAAATGTTGATATAAAATAAGTTATTTTATTAATTCTAATATTACGGGTAAGTCCCGCCTTCCCTTCTCTTAGCTATAGTTTAGAATCCACGATGCCGTCGAGGTTAACCAATCGAGTGATGCCAAGGGCTGTCAATCATCGAGCTGATGCTGCAGCTGCTCATGCTCAGTTGTTTGTTTTCGCGGAGCCTCCGAATCAAGCCTCTATTAGGCTCTGGAACTACATGAAAACTGAACAAAGAATTCTGAACATCCGCGCTGAAGTACTCATGTATATACTGAACCTATATCCATAATCATTTATATATGAACCTATATCCATAATCATTTATATATGAACCTATATCCATAATCATGTATATACGGAACCTATATCCATGATCAGATCCTCTGCAGATGTGTCCTATCTATAATGTGCAGTTCATGATAACAGCTTGTTCCGGGTTTGCCTCAAAACATTATTTTTTTCATTAAAACGTTAACAAATACTTCTGAAGACCTCCGTGCATGTGTATTAATAATGTACAGTATATGTATAATGTGTTCTCATTTAAAAGTGTTGCGGGAACGCAGCCGTAGACCAATCAGAAAGGAAGGGGGAGGGAGCTTGCGTCGTTTTTTTCAAATCAAGTACCTCTTTGTCTCTTTTTCTGACAAACTCCAAACAATCACTTCGATCTGTCAATAAAAACCTCAACATATCCATAATTTTTTTAAACTGCCAGAGTCACTCCTGTTTTCAAAGGAGGCGATCCCTCAGACCTGAACAACTACAGGCCAATATCCATCATCTGCGCAGCTGCTAAGCTATTTGAAAAAAATGTATTCCAACAGTTAAATCATTACATGAATTAATTCAATATACTTTCTCCTTTTCAGTCCGGTTTTCATTCAGGGTTTTCTACAACTACTGCTTTATTAAAATTCACGAATGATGTTTTTTCTTCTTTTGATAAAAATATGTTTGTGGGCTCTATATTCCTGGATCTGTCCAAAGCCTTTGATCTCGTTGACCACTATTTACTCCTTGACAAACTCTACTCAATAGGCCTTGACAGAAATGCTATTCTTTGGTTCAACTCATATCTTCACAGTCTGTTCAATATGTTGTTGAAAAAGGTGTTCATAGGGCTCCACTTAGGCCCCCTTCTTTTTTCAATTTTTTCTTTACGATCTCCCAAACGTTATATCCAACTGCTTCATAAACATCTATGCCAATGACACAGTTATTTACAACTAGGTCCTGGATCTATAGCCCGTCCGTCCGTGGGAGCGGATCCTTTTCTCAAACCATGGGCCTCCCCGAAGTTTCTCACTTTTGCCCACTGGGTTTTCTTATGAGTTTTTCCTTGCCGATGCAGGAGGGTCTGTTGGGCAGTTTGTGTCTAACTAGAAGGACTGTGGTGATCCAGGACACTTTAACATTCTACAACATGTATGGACATTTATCAACATGTGTTCTATATTCTTTATGTGTTTTAACTGTTGATTCTCTGACCTGTGTTGGTGATTTCAATGGTTTTGTTAAGTCTCTGAGATGACTTCTGTTGTGATTTAGGGCTATACAAGAATAAATTGTATTGTATTGTAACTCAAACTCTGACATCACATCTCTCCAAAATCTGTTGCAACTCAATTTTAACTCCATTCAAAACTGGCTCTCAAACAATAAATTAAGTTTAAACATGAAAATATCTTGCTGTATACCGTTTGGCTCTCATCACAAATTACTCCACTCCCCAGATCTCCATATTCACTTTAACGACGGTTCCAAAATGCACAACGCAGACACAATCAAATATCTCGGCCTCTGGCTAGACCCCGAACTTAACTTCAAACACCACATCAACTCCATCATCAAAAGAACTTACGCCACAATGGGCCCATTATTCCGATCATCCCACTGCTTTACCCTCAATGTCAGAAAACGCATAATTACACAACTGGTTCTCCCCATCATCGATTACGCTGACGCCATTTATAAAAACACATTTCCCTCCCACTTACTATTTAAATTCATTCACTTTAGTTGTCCGCAGTATTTAAAACTGTTTTTGTCCCCTTCTCTACACCTTTTTCACATGGAAGCTCTGATTGTCTCACTGTTTCTGTTCCAAGAGTTTTTAAAGAAGTTGGACGCAGATCATTTCAATATAAGTCTCCATCAGACTGGAATAAACTCCCCACATCCATAAGATCCATTCTGTCTTTTGGTTTATTTAAGTTTGAATTATTTAGGTTCCTTGAAACTCCTTGTTAATGTCACTAATGTTCTGTGTTCTGTGTCATTATTGTTAAAAGTTATACTTTGTCTTTTTCTAGATGTTAACTTTAATTTTAGCAGAGGGGAGGAGTGGGGTGCGAAGGAGCATTTGTTTCATTTTTTTATTTTTATTTTTTTGTGTGTTTAATTAACTTTTCTCATCTTTAATTCGCTGTAAATTGTTTTTGTGTTTGCGTGTTTGTTTATATGTTTGTATTTATGTTTAGGACCCCCTTGAAAATGAGATGATTCATCTCAAGGGGTTTTCCTTAATAAACTTAAACACACACGGTGGAGTTCACCTCAAAAACAAGCTTGGTCTGAAAACAACAGGACCCGTTACAAAGGGGGGAAGACTTCACCCTCATCTGTATAATAAGAATGGATCCCAGTTCAGTGGATGAAGTTGGGTTAGTCCCTGGTTCCAGTCACTCCACCATAACCCTGGCTCCAGTTCCCAAAGGCAGCAGTGCGTTCACAGTGGGGGAGTGTTGAATGCTGATTGTAAGGCACTAATGAGCTGACTGCAGTAGGAACACCTCACGTGTCAATGTTACATCTGATCTGACTGTTTGTGATGACACTTGGGAGACAGGTGCCAACATCCCATCTCCACATATGGATCCTTCACACAGCTCTGTAGCTAAAGCTGCAACAATACAATTTATTCTTATACAGCCCTAACTCACAACAGTAGTCATCTAAGAGGACTTAACAACATCTTTGAAATCACCAACACAGATCAGAGAATCAACAGTTAAGACACACAAATAGTATAAAACACATGTTGATAAATGTCCATACATGTTGTAGAATGTTAGTGTCCTGGATCATGACCACAGTCCTTTTTGTTAGATACTAACTGTCCAACAGACCCTCCTGCATCGGCCAGGAAAAACTCGTATGAAAAACCGATGTGGGAAAAAAGTGAGAAACCTTGGGGAGACCCACATATTGAGAGAGAGAGATGCTTGGTTGATATGACATCAACATGTCTTGACGATAAGGAGCCAAGCCATTTATGGCTTTGTATGCCAAAAGATGAATTTTAAACTTTATTCTGCAGTCCACAGGAAGAAAGTGGAGTGATTTTAACACCGGAGTTATGTGCTCCCTTCTTTTGGTGCCTGTTAAGATCCTAGCTGCTGTATTCTGAACGAGCTGGAAGATCTTCAAAGAAAACAAACAACAAACATTTTTTAAGTGATTTGTTTTTCATGAACCTCTGATGGAGTCATGAACGAGCGATTACTCTGGATTACTTTATACAGTATATACACACTCTGGATTACCTCACATATAAAGTACAACACACTCTCTATTACCTCACATATACAGCACACATTGTATTTCCTCAGATACAGACTATATAATGTTCTTTGGTCTATAGTTAAGTTCCAGTGATAGCAATAGATCATCATATTTGTACTTTTTAAAAACTCAATATTGATTTAGGACAGTATAGAGATATAGCAATACATCAATATTTACGTTATATTGAGATAATCTTTAAACTCAATATGAATTTTGACATTGATATAATAATATAATATAATATTTCACGTTCGCTGCTTTGCTCGCTTGCCTTCTCTGTGCCGTGGGCCCTTGCTCGCCCCCTCCTCCTTGCGTTTTCTCCCCCTCCGCTCAGCTAGGACCATAAATTCATGCTCAGAGGCTGCAAACTTGTCTAAAACAAACAGAAGAATATGACAGAAGCGCAGGTGGTGTAGCATCACAGAGTCCGTGGCATTTCATACAGCGGTGGACACCTTTTGTCATCAATGAACAATGTGGCGTTATACCAGAGACTGTACTGTACTTTATACGCAGATAAAAACAAAACACAGATTACAGATACCCAGTTGAAGCATTACTTTGCGATACAAGAACCCCTGCGACAGTAGACTGCCGAGAGAGCGGCCCTAGGACAGTATATTTTGCCGCTTTTCCATAGTCACGGTATGGCACAGCATGGCACGGTTGCCAAACCACGTAATTTAGGCGCAACACGTAACTAGTTGTAATGCCCACATAGGTCCTTACCTTATTGTTTACTCAGGAGGGGTGAAATTCTGTATGTTTCAACCAATTTTGTGTACCAGGTCTGTTTTGTGTTTTGTTACATAAGTTTCCAGTTACTATTACTATTATTGTTTATGCCCATTGAGGGCGTCCTTGGAGATTCTATTTAGGAGTGACGCACACGTGTTCTGACGTCAGACGCCGACTTGGAGCAGTGCCAGCACCTTTACCTGGAGTACCCGTTTCTGCAGATTATAATCTCTGTTGGAGTATCGTTCTTTTGGATTACCGTGTGCAGGGGGATCTAACGAGATTCTGTGGATTATCTCTCCATGGTCACTGCTGGGCTCCAGGACCCGTTCTGATGAACCGTGGTGCATGCGCGGGGCCGTGAGTACACCGTGGCTTCACCACTGACACTAACTCTTTCTTTTTTTGTTTTCACGTATTGAGAGCGCCACAATACAATACAATACAATACAATTTATTCTTGTATAGCCCTAGGTCACAACAGAAGTCATCTCAGAGGACTTAACAAAACCATTGAAATCACCAACACAGGTCAGAGAATCAACAGTTAAAACACATGAAGAATATAAAGCACACACAGAAGAAAATGTCCATACATGTTGTAGAATGCTAAAGTGTCCTGATCATCACCAATCCTTTCTGTTGGATACTAACTGTCCAACAGCCACAGTCGGCTGTTTGTGAACATATGCGTCATCTGCGCACCAGTCACATGACTCCTTTCAACCTCCACTCAATTCCATCTTCTACGACAGCTTTCACAACAATAAACACTCAAGGCGGCCCTCTTCAACACACGCTCACTAAATAATAAAAGCCTGCTTCTAGACAAATTCATAACTGACAATAAACTGGATTTCTTCTGTCTCACCGAAACCTGGCATAAACCCATGGACTACTTGACCCTAAACCAGACCACACCACCTGGATACTCATACCTCGACAACCCCCGCCCTGAACATCGGGGAGGAGGCATCGCAGTCATCTACCAGCACAACCTCAATCTTCGCCCCATCTCCATCCCTGCCACTACCACCTTCGAACACCTGGTCTTTAGACTCTCTGGTTCACAATCTCCCATTGTTGCCATTATATATCGCCATCCCCCAAAACCTGTACTTCATTCTTTTCAGACTTTACAGACTTCTACACACAGCTCTCCTCCATCTCTCCCTCTGTTCTCCTGCAGTTCATCCAGAGTGATCATGGGCCTCTTGGCTGCATCTCTGATCAGTTTTCTCCTTGTTTGAGATGAAAGTTTGGAGGGACGGCCGGGTCTTGGTAGATTTGCAGTGGTCTGATACTCCTTCCATTTCAATATAATTGCTTGCACAGTGCTCCTTGAGATGTTTAAAGCTTGGGAAATCTTTTTGTATCCAAATCCGGCTTTAAACTTCTCCACAACAGTATCTCGGACCTGCCTGGTGTGTTCCTTTGTCTTCATGGTTCTCTCTGTGCTTTAAACAGAACCCTGAGACTATCAAAGAGCAGGTGCATTTATACAGAGACTTGATTACACACAGGTGCATTCTATTTATCATCATCAGTCATTTAGGACAACATTGGATCATTCAAAGATCCTCACTGAACTTCTGGACTGAGTTTGCTGCACTGAAAGTAAAGGGGCCCAATAATATTGCACGCCCCACTTTTCAGTTTTTTATTTGTTAAAAAAGTTTAAATTATCCAACAAATTTCATTCCACTTCACAATTGTGTCCCACTTGCTGTTGATTCATGACAAAAAAATTTAATTTTATATCTTTATGTTTGAAGCCTGAAATATGGCGAAATGTTGAAAGGTTCAAGGGGGCCGAATACTTTCGCAAGGCACTGTACCTCACTGACCTCCTCCATTATCACTGTCCCTCCCGCCGCCTCAGATCCTCTGACTCCAACCTCCTCACTCCCCTCAGTTCCACTGAGGGGAGTCCCCACTCTCTGGAACTCACTCCCTCAACAAATCAGAAACTCAGACTCACTACAGAAGTTTAAATCTCTTCTAAAAACCCACCTGTTTCATCTTGCCTTTCCTTAATTTTGTTTTTCAATGTTTATTTCTATGTGTTTGTAAAGCATCTTTGAGTGTCCAAATAAGCGCTATATAAGTTTGATGCATTATTATTATTATTACTATTATTATAAAAGCCAGACGCCCCCGCCACAGCATCATCCCCTCATTGATGCAGATGTTCTTCCCTGGATTGTGCAAGTCCTTTATTTATTGACCAGGTAGTCCAAAACAGGGCGGACTTTGTTCATTTTGTCACCTACATCCTGAGACCTTATTGTTTTAATGGAGAACTTCCAGATGAGCTGGTACCTGTTCCTCGACATTACTTTTGTAAAATATAGTGTTGCATCAAGCTCATCTGTAGACCAGTACATCTCAATTGTTGGCTTTTTGAGGTAACCAGTGAGGAAACTGAGCCCCAAGAACCTTTTGCGTTCAGGGACAGAGAGCTCTTTCCACTTATTACTCCTGCTGTGGGGCAAAGGCTTTTTTTTTGTCTCCAAATACCGGCTGGCATAGATGTTTGTCTGATCCATGATGTGTTGGAGCAGTTCCGCGGCAAGAAGAGCTCCAGAGGGTCAGCTGGATCAGACATATCCAGCTCCGCAGCAGGTCCCTGAGGTCCAGGTGCTCCTGTGAAGAGTACCTGACTCGGCTCCCACTCATCCCCAGAGCCTCTGCGTGATGAACGGGCTGTAAAGTGGATAAATACAAGTACTATATTATGCAGTGAATTTGTTACAATAATAAATACACAAAATTCAATGAAGGGTTAGGGTTAGTGGCTCAGTTGGTAGAGCATTGGTCTTTGGACCTAATGGTCGTGGGTTCGATCCCACCACAACCTGTGTCATCTGCTCCCACCGGTCTGGTGTCGTTGTGTCCCTGGGCAAGACACTTAATCCCGCCTTGCCTGAAGCAAGACATGTCTTCATTGAAGGAGCAGCCATCTTCCTGTGGACCCACCACCTGCAGAAGGATCAGCGAGGGTATATACAAACAAAAAATATATACAATGATAAGATAAGGAGGATTTATCTTTACCTCTCCTTGCTCCATGCCAACCTCAATGGGGGAGGGCTCTCTACTTTTATCAGAACCATTTAGTCAGAACTATGACACTATAACAAGATGTACAAGTAAAAAATAACGAAATAAATAATAAATACTAAAATGATAAAATATATAAGTGGCACTCGGGATTTGAGTGCTGTGTTACTTTGAAGATCAAAGCAAGTTTGCCCGCCTTCCTCTCCTTTCAAGTCAGCATACTCTAACTTTGCAAGTTCTTACCTTCAGCTCTTTCTGGAGCTTCTGGGGATGACACTCTGCTGCTTTCAGACGGCAACCACTCATCTGATGAATCAGGATCAGGTTTGCTGAAGTCATCCGAGTCATCAGTAACAGAAGGTGAAACGCTGTGAGAGGCGGCAGGTGTCTCCCTGCTCCGCGCTCTTCCTCTGCGCAAAGATGGCTGCCGGGATGGACCCTCGCCGGGGTCTCCACTCTCTCTCCTCTTGACCTCACTCACTGATCCGCGAGTCAAACTCTCAAACAGTGTCAACTGCTTATAACTAAACTTTTTCGCCATCACTCTCACCCATATTATCTATACTATTGCTAAACTCGCTACTTGCTACGCTACTATCTATCGCTATGTTACCGCCACTCACCACGTTTTCCAAACACTCCCACACTCCTCCTCCTCTCCATTGACTTTTGACCTCACCTGTGGCGCAATACTGCATCCTACTGGCGTTGATTGATCATTACAGGTACATTTGTGCTATGTATCAGTATTGTGACATAAGGTGGCCCATACATTACTATAGCCTCCTGTATAATAACGTGAAAAACTCGTCAAACTCGTCATGAGCAGTGGGCGTTAAAATAGAACAACTTTTGTAGTAATGGGCAGTCAATGAGAAGCATATTTTACCACTTGCACAATTAAACAGCGGTAAAGCAGCTCTTATACAGCCCGGTGCCAAAAGCGGCGTAAAGTGATTCACATGAAATTGTTCTTTAAAGTTTTCAATGTTTCTTGTGTTTTGGAAATACTAGACACATTTGTTTTTACAATGTTCTGCTTTTAATGTTTGTAAATCTTAACGTCATGTGAGTCACTCAGAGACATAAATAACTGACCTGTATCTCCGAGTGTGTAACACTTATGCCAAAACAAGACAAGACTGTGTGTGGGCGGGTTCCATCCAGGGGCTCCGGTTTCCTGCATCACCCATACAGGATAGACATATCCTGCAGAGAGACTACTCCTGATCGAGCCAAGCCCCAACATTTGGAGGTGCACCAGCTGCTCTGCTGCTGATAGTTTGATCAGTGATGGGTCAAATGCAGGGACAAAGCTTAACCTTAAGTGCAACAATACTATTTTCTAAGAAAATATATAAACTAGAAAATCAATCACACTGCTCTTCTCATAAGTGGTTTTATGTGGCACACTAACAGACCGACAAACAACACTGATCACATTTCCCTCTGGGACGTACTTTATTAATCCTGAAGGAACTTAATAAAGAAAATGTATGTTGTTGTGAATGTTATAGATTTCATTGAAGTTGTAATTATACATTCAGTGAAATACTCATGCCATAATTTGATAGAGCTTGTGATAATTGTACAGTGAGGTAAACGGCTGGTTTTTTATTGATATTACACAATGTGTCGTTTGGGAGTGTGGCTGTGGCGAGGGCCTCATTTGCATCCCCTCACCTGCCATGTTTGTTTACTCCCCTGCTCCGCGCTGACTCCTGTGCGTTCCCCCTGATATTTGCGCTGCATAGCGATCTCCTTTTTAGGTCCCAGACTTCTGAGGGAGCTGGGGTGCTGCTCCGGAGCCCGTGGCCCACCGCCCCTCGCTGCTCCGCGTCCCCATCCTGAGATAACCTTTCCCGGAGGCGCAGGGAAGCCGCTCCCCAGCTCTCTTTAGCATAATGAGTCTGTTCATCAAAGGTGTGTGTGTGTGTGTGTGTGTGGGGGGGGCGCTCTCTGAGAGAGACCAGAAGGGGACCAGAGAGAGAGGGACCGGAGAGAGACCAGAGTGGAACCAAAGAGAGAGTCCAGAGGTAGACCAGAGAGAGAGAGACCGAAGAGCGAGAGATCAGAGAGAGAGAGACAGAGACCTGAAAGACAGAGACCAGAGAGTGCACAAGTAGAAAGATAAAACAAGCCTTTAACTGTCTGCTTTAAACATGGAGTCTAAAACAGACAGTTAAAGGCCATTCTATAAAAGTGGCTTTTAACCCTTTCATGCATGAATTATGATAGGCTTCTTCAAGATGTTTTCCCCCAAGTGTTTTAATTACTCTTGAGGCATGAAAAGATAGAAAATATTTTAATTTTGAAAAAACATGATTTTTTTTCAAAACAATTAATGTTTTTGATCGCTAAATATAAATATAGCTATCTATATTTTTGTGTTACTGAGCTGGTCAAGTCGGACAGCACCATCTCCCGCAGCCTCTTCATTCACCTCAAATTCTTTCGCATCTTCTTCTCCTTCTACATCTTCAACTTCACTGTTGCAGCTAATTGACTTTTGTCTTGTACCATTCTTCATCATTCCCACTAACATCAACCTCACTTGAGTCGGGTGGTAGTTCCCCTATGCTTTACTATTCTGCTCTGCAACAAAACACATGGGAAAGGATCATTATTCGCATGATGTGCCAAATATTCACAAGATGTAATATATATCAAATAATGTAATTTAGTTGCAGCCAAAACTGTGTTGAAAATTAAGTATTTCCAGAAACAACAAAGTTGCAGCAATACTAGGCATTGTTTTCAAAATATAGCTAATGATGCACAACGTCCAATTTAGTGGACACATGATTAATTACAATTTCCTCAAAGCAGAAAATCAATACTTCGGTTTTTCAACAATGTTTTCCTTAAATGTTACTTGATACATATATATCAACTAATATCCACATTTTTTTTACCTGCTAAACCTTCCTGGAATATAAAGTATGAACAGATTTTCCTCCTCCACTAAGCACATTTTCTTTTTTGTCGGCCATCTTTTTTTGAGTTTTTTTGTTGTTAACATTTGTATGTTTACCAGTATGTAGCAGTGCATATGGCAAGACACACTAGGGTCCACTATAGTGAAGTGCAACTGTGAATTTAAAACTCACACATATGGAAGAAAACAACTATTGAATAGCTGTCCACTGTATTGACCACTATGCACAAAAAGGTTTTAAGAAGTGATTTAAAAGATGGTACTGATGGTGGGAGTCTTATCTCCTCGGGCAGCTTGCTCCGTGGCAAGGACCGAGAAGGCTCCATCACCCTTCGTTTGGAGCCTCAAACCTGGAGTTAGCCGACGGGCACCTGTCTGAGGCAAAGAGGGAGGGTGCTTAAAAGATCAGAAATGTAGCTTGGTGTCAGACCTAGATGAGCTTTTAAAATTCATCCATTTTCTACGCCTTATGCCATTTCTGGGTCAAGAGGGTGGCAATCAGAGCTTCCGCCCAATTCACAGAGCACCAGCCCCTCACTGATCCTCCTGCAGGTGGTGACCCCTGTTATGGCCACATTTAGAATGATCCGAGGCAAACAAGTATCATTGTGTGGTTTGTAATGAAATACATATATAAAATTGCAATCCAAGTTGTGGAGAAGAGCTCAGCCAGACCTCCGAGGAGGATGCTAACTTTTCTGCCCCAAACAAAGCCACAGTCTGCAGTTTTCCCAGACTCGGGAGGAGTGAAATGAGGAAGAGTAAGGCCCTGTTTAGACGGCGACGCTGCAACAGTAAAACAGTAGAGCTGGGTGTAGGTTTGTTCTCCTGTTTACATGGAGACTGTAATCCAGGGGGGTGAAAATGCAAGTGTTGAGAAACAGCCTCCAGAGTGGACCAGCGCCGATATCTGCTCAGTGGGGGGTTGTTTCACAGCCTGCTATGAACTCACCACTTCTCCTCACGCACATTTGGACATGCGCAGGAGCCGAGATCAAAAGCAAAAAACAATGGCGGCTAATTTGCTTTATGTGCCACACGGAGGAGAATTCTACTCCTTTGTTCGTTCAAACGGAACCACGCAAAGCTCTAGTTTCAGTGTCCATTTTCGCAGCTACCATTAAATGCAGAATGTTGTTGGTGGAGTCTTTCACGTCTTTAAAGTGGTCTGAGGAGGATGTTGCCGGGGGTCATGCGGGTCGTGCTTTAACATTCCATTGCCCACTACTGGCCGGGCGCAAGAACTACATTGTTTTTTGTCACCTTCCTAACACTGTGCACATGAATAAGGAGCCTGGTTTTTTTTGCGTATTGCTTTGCAGTGTTTACACAGCGTCTCCGTCGAAACAGGGCCTAAGGGTTGTTACGGGGGTGCAAGTTCTCATCTAATTTATGAGCCCCCTTCCAAACAAACCTTGTGTCTTATCAGTGTGTCTGGATGGACACAACGACTACACAAAGTTTTAAGTTTAAGTTTAATATTTTTACCATATTTTATGTTATTGATATAATTGATAGTTAGTTTCCAATACACCCCTCACTGGAATGGACTTAAAAGTGATCATTGAAATCTTAAAATCAACTCTAAAAGGCCAAAGGGGGCAGGGGAGGGACATTAACACGGGGGTGATGTGCTCCCTTCTGTTGAAATTGAGAATTCTTTGAGAACGTTTATGATTGATTCTTTCTAAGACATGCAACGTAGTGAAGTAATTGCATGAGTCGAAAGTGTTTATGCGAGCGCTGAGTGTTGGTGCCTTTTGGGGGGATACGTCTGTAAACTGCATAGTGAGGGAGGGGCTGAGCTCTTTTATTAATGAAGCCCAGGTGACTGTGGAGTGTCGAACAATCACAAACATCTTGGTTTGGGCTGGAGTGTCAGACACAACACCTCCAGCCGAGTAAACATTATCAAAGTATTAATTAACACCACTGCACAAAGTGGTGGCGCCGTATTCAGACAAAGATACTGTTTACTCCATGGACTGTATACAAATGGGCAATGCTCACTCGCTTGCTCAATACTATACCACTAACTCATTGAATCCCAAAAGCGAATGACTGAAAATCTGAATGACGTCACTAAGACACGCCCTGTCAACTCCCGCCCACATGTTTCGGACTGACACTGCCGAAATCAATCAAATACCAGTTGTCACTTTAGACGAAAATTATATACCAGGAGCAAAATCCCACCATCGAGGATCATAGTGTTGCCCAATTAAAACTTTGGCTTGAATTTCGTGGTCTGTAACTGGTAGAAAGTTTGAATTGATAAAAAGATAATGGTGAGGATTATGCTAACATTATCTTGTCATTTAAATTGCAATTCTAGCGCCTTCTTTGTTTATTTTGTTGTGATTAACTACCATTTATCAAGTTTTTTTTTGTTGCACTGTGCTTAACTTTGTAATTAGTTTGATCATCTAGTTAGCTAGGGTCACCCGATATTATAAGAGATCCATGGGGTCACAATGGACCTTTCTCACACTTCCGTGTTTTAAACCGTAAGTATCGCAAAGGCATTTCCGGTGGCTATGCTTTCCCATTCACAAACAGTATGGCTCAAACTCACGATCTCACCACGGTTGTTTTCCCTAACCCGGTTGCTCTTGTGGGGCAAGAAAACCATATCTCTCATTCCAAGCTTTCCTGACGGACCTGGACCAAAAGAGGCAGTGGATCCAAGCAGTTAGAAGAGGCGAGGGTACCCAGTTCTCCATAAAGCCAGGGAGCACTTTTGAATGCAACCTTACACCGGTGGATTTTATCACCAGATCCACCGGCAGCCACCTTAAAAGTTCAGCTGTTCCATCTCTTTCCCCGTTGAATAATGTTATTGCTCCATCTAAAGGGAATCTGCCACCAGAGAGTTCAGAAACCACAGCTCGTTGTGTTTTAGCAAATCATCAAAGCCCATATTGTTTTTAAGACTAAATTCATCATACAGTATATGTAAATCTTGTGTTTGTTCCAGTGTAAATATTTTTGAGATATGCTTTTTTCCAAATTAAAACACAACTTGGGAAGAATTCTGTTGTTATTTTTTTCTTAATTTTTGCTTGATTGTGTTGCATTGCAAGGAAAACAGTGGATTAACACTGGATTATGTTGCAATTGAAAATTGATTTTTGAAATGATTGAGAATGACATGTGTAACAAAACAAGACTGGAAAATGACAGGTTTTTACGAAATAGTTTTGCAGAACAACTTACACCTAATTAGCAGGCACAGGTCCATTAAGACCAGGACAAATGGATTTAAGAACCGTTTGTTATCCAAGTGCAGTTGCCACACTATACTGTCAAATGTCTATCCATCCATCCATTTTCTTCCCCATAATCCATTTCTGGGTCGGGGGATAGCAGTCAGAGCTGCACCTAGTACACAGCGCACCAACCCCTCACGGATCCTCCTGCAGGTGGTGAGTCCACAGGAGGGGTTTTGCCCAAGGACACAGGGGGTCTTGCCCAAGGGCACAGCAACAGCAGACATCAGTGGGAGTCATGAATTGTTGTGGGCTAGAACCCACAATCTTCAGGCCCAAAGGCCAATGCTCTGAGCCACTATCGCCCTGACTGTCAAATGTAACAGACCATAATGTACACTGTTGAGTATGTGCTTTGTTGTGCAATGCATTGATTCTATTTTTGTAACAAATATTTACAATGATTACACACAGGTTGAAAGTTTAAAATGCAAAAAAAAAAAAAAAAAGGGGATTTGTAGAACATTTAATATTCATTTTATTGCATTGACATAAACACATCCATCTTTGCAGATCTCTGGTATAGGCCAGGGCTGGGAGTAGTGTGTAGTCTGAAACCTTTACCTGCTGCACAACTACAGTAATAAGCCTCTTTTCAACACCCATACATGCATCCATTTTCTTCCGCTTCATCCGTTGCCGGTTGAGTTGAAAGTCCGTCCGTCTGACAGGGGGCTCAGACGTTCCCAGCAG